ACATGGATAAAGGAATCAACTTGATAATTAATTATAGTCTGACCTAGCGATCAATAAAGTAAATAAAAATTATGAAATACATGAAGCATGTGGGATGGCTGCGGAGAAATACAAATTATCTCACTTCTTATAACTCCAGTTGAACCCTCAATAAAGTCAACATTGCTTTCGTGGGATCAACTGCTTGGTTTTGATATAGAACTCGATATATGCTGATCAATAAACAAAATTTATGGATAATTTCGTTATATTTGTTTCAACTTTGATCGATATGGTTTTGTTTTTTCCGCATAATACATAAATGAGCCCTTTAACTTGGCTTCAATTGATAACTATGCCTTTTAACTTAGGGTGTTCATAAGTAGCTAGACACTTATCGTATCAAATTGAACAGATAGAAACATTCGTCCTACGTGGCATCGTACATGCATCCTACATGGCAATTTGTGTCCTACACGCATCCTACATGTATTATGCCATGCAGGATATGTGTGTCTATTTGTTCAATTTTGTACAAGTTTATTTGAATCTATTTGTACAAACTCAAAGTTGAAGGACAAAGATGCCAATCGAAATCAAGTTAAAAGACATATTTATGTATGTATTATGCCTTTTTACATATATAAATTTCTAAACTCTCACACGGTGTCATTGCCTATTCATCTTCATTGAAAATTGCGAAAAAAGACTATATAAGTTACATCGATACGGTTAATTACTCGTTACTTAGGTAGATGGTGTGCAAACTAATTCGGACATATAAAAAACACTTCCTCCTTCCCATTGTATATGTCATCTCTTTTTATAAATAGTTGGACCACAATACTTGTCATTTTATAAAATTTATGCATAAATTACCATATTTTGCCTATTATACCCTTGATAGAATAGTTAATTAATCTTGTCATTTATTAATAAGGTTGACTTAAGAAAACATTAAATAAGGATAGAAGGGTAAAGTTACATCTTTTCTTAATGCAAGTGCAAAGTAAAAAAGATGACATTGGACGGAAGGAGTAATTGCTAATCAATATAGGCAGGGAATCAACTAATTAAACAACTAACTTTGACTCGGGACTCCAATTCCAACCCTTTAACCCTAGCCTAATCCTAATTTGGGAGCATGGACTCGAGACTCAATCGGTTTCAACCCTAGCCTCAACTCAAGACTTGACCCCGACTTGGACTTGAAATCTGATCCAAACTAATTGAGACCCAACTCCTTAGCTCTATCTCGACATTGGACCCGATCCTCGACACAAAATTCGAACCTCAGGCCTTGACTTGCGATTCGAGCCCGACTCAAACTCACAATGATAATATGTGGAGTAATATTTATGAAGACTTGTTTGTGGATATTTGGTTACGAAAATTATTGAAGTCTCTAAAATGAAACACTAAAAGTTGAGTCAAATTGGGTTGGTTGTGTTACGATCCATCACTTAGTCCATTTTGATTCAATTCATATATCTTAGCCAAAAAAAAAAAAAGGAAGAAGCTTTGGACAGGGTTGAACATTGACTCATTTATTGATTCAGCTCATCTTGATTAGCCCAACTTTTGCCCAAACAACTCATTTACTACCTCTAGAAATCACATATTTCCTTTCATTTAGGTGAATTCTTGAGATAGCGTTGCCATATGTAAATAATTCATACGTCATTCATCAACTTCTCTACTAAGATTTGATGTTCTATTAGTCGTTTTTTGTTTTTCTCGACTCGATGATAAAATCGATCCTCGATAGATTCGAATTTAGGCCAGAAATTCCTTTTGGGGGTCAAAATACTTTTTACCAAAGACAGTTTTATTTTCATATCCCAAATTCAAAATCTCTGAAAAGAATGACATGATACTTATCATCACCTACACCAACCTTTGATGGTCTATCAGACTATTTCGTAATCCACTCGATAACTATAGTGATTTTTATATTATTTATAAATATGTATTTATTTCACAAAATAAAAAAAAAAAGGAGATTCTTTATAACACAATATACATAAGAATTATTTTCTATAGTTCATGGAAAGCCACTACATGAGTATAAAACATTTTAAAAAAAAATTACAATATATATATGATCGTGAATTGCTTAATTACTAAATCCTAATGATCCCATCATTATCTTTTAATAATTAATGGAATATTTGCCTAAGATCTAATCATTCACAATTATATATTTCACAACTCCAAACACATGCTCAATATTATAATGTTATTGTTAATACTTAATAAGTACTATATATACTTGCCTAGACAAGTGAATTAATCATCAACTTTCTCATTAATTATTTGGTCTTTTTATCTCTTAATTCATTCATAAATATTACTAAGTTATAATGGCTATCTCATCAACTCGTGTTATTGGAGTAGTTCTCTTAATTGTTCTTTTTAGTGGCATTATGGTTTCTGCTGACGTGTTAGGGCGGCGCATGCTCGGTGCAGGTGGCATAGGTGGTGGTGGTGGTCATGGCTTAGGTGGCTTTGGATTTGGTTCGGGTGGAAGTGTTGGTGATGCAAGTTTTGGGACTGGATTTGGTGGCGGTGTGCTTGGTGGTGAAGGTCTTGGTGCGGGTGGTGGTAACTAAATTGATTAATTAATTTAACTTATATGGTAATAATCATAATTTTTTATTATTTTTTCTGTATCAATTTTTATATCTTTTAGTTTTACGAGAGATGATGTGAAATTGTGCTTCTTTTTATATGAAAGTTGTGATGTTGTAATTGTTTCAGAAGATCCTTTTTCTATCTTATGCGTTCGGGGACTGCCCCTCATGCATGCTATCTATTCTAATTCAACTTGTTGGATGCCAACTTGGATTTGTTCTTCTATTTTTGTTTTTATTTTTTTGGTAGATAATATGAGTGTGTTTATTTTGGATTGGCTCTTTATTTCTTGGATTTTGATTCATAAAAAAAAAGAGCTTAATTATTGCTTTAATCAAATCTTTTCACATACTATTGTATCATTTTTTTTCATGTGTTTGTGTGGGTTTTTTTTGGAGTTATAATTCTATCAATGATGATTATAATGGAGGGGTGAATTATTACTTTTATAGAAGTATTTATTTTGATTTCAACATTATTTTGTAGACTTGTTTAGTGTCTTTCATCTCTGTTATAAAATGGTTCTGCGAGCTATGATTTCAATTTTATGAGTTTTTCTTTATTTCAAAATGATCAACTTAAAGTATTAAAGTAATAACAATTGAGTTATAACCTCTCGACCATAAATTTTAAAGTTGAAACTTAAAAATTGAAAATTTGAAGTTTTTAATAAGGGAATAATAAATATGTCTTGAGATAACTACTCTTTCCGTTTATTTTTATTTATTGACTTGGCAAGTACACCCTAAGCAATAAATAATATGACAATTTTTACTATATCAATATTTGAATATCATAAAATTCAATGTTTTGAAAATTGAATATAGTTAATTGATAATAATGGTAATTAATTATGAAGTTGACAAATGTAAATTAAGCGGATATCTATTTTTAATAGAATTAACGAGTAAAAATAAACAATTCTTTTTTTTGGGGATCAGATATTATTTTTAATAAGCATCACAATTAAAATAGACCAAAAGGGAGTAAGAAACACAACAATAATTAATTACTCTCTCTTGTCTCTTTTTACTTGTCTAATTTTAACTTTTTATCTTACCTCTTTTACTTATTATTTTTGACAAATCAAGAAAAAACAAAAAATTTTTTACCTATTATATCTTCAATTTATTTAGAGAGTTTAATATTTTTTTAAAAGGTAGAACGTCTTTAATGAGTAAATTAATTTTGAAATTCTATCAATGAATAGAGGTAAAATAATAAACTTACTATATCAATTATTATTTTCTTAATAGGTATGTCAAATAAAAAATAGACAAGTAAATAGAGACAGATGAAATACGAATACATTAATGGCTAATTGGCTATGCATATATAATGTGAACTAAAGAATATTGCAACCAGACATTGACAGAGAGTACAAATTAATACTGGTGGCAGGAAATTGTTTGGTTGATCCATTAATGATAATTAGAAGACCCAATAAATGAGTGTTAGCTTGTTAATTCAACACAATGTTCAAAGCCATTAAGAATGAATGGCCTACATGGATAAAGGAATCAACTTGATAATTAATTATAGTCTGATCGCTGTAAATAAAAATTATGAAATACATGAGGCATGTGGGATGGCTGCAGAGAAATACAATTTATCTCACTTCTTATAATTTCAGTTGAACCCTCGATGAACTCAACATTGCTTTCGTGGGATCAACTGCTTGGTTTTGATATAGAACTCGATATATGCTGATCAATAAACAAAATTTATGGATAATTTCTTTATATTTGTTTCAACTTTGATCAATATGGTTTTTTTTTTTCACGTAATACATAAACGAGCCCTTTAACTTAGCTTCAACTGATATCTATGCCCTTTAACTTTGAGTGTGCATAAGTAGACACTTATCGTATAAAATTCAACAGATGGAAACATTCGTCCTACGTGACATCGCACATGCATCCTACATGGTAATTTGTGTCCTACACGCGTCCTACATGTATTATGCCACGTAGGAGTCTACTTGCAAACTAATTCAGACATATAAAAAATAATTGATAATCAATAAAGGCAGGGAATCAACTAATTAAACACCATTAATATGGATATATATATAGATCAAGAATTTAATTAGATACCCTAAAAGCCAAATAATCTCTCACAAACAAAAACACTAATTATGATAATTGTGCTGTATTTGTGACTTTGTAAGTCTCTGTCCGTGTTGTGTATTGGAGGAGGGCAGTTGGAAGAATTAAATATATAGACCAATCATAAAGCAAACATGCATTTAAGTAAAAGAAGATGGTAGTTGAGTTTTAACTGGACCTACCATGTGATTTAATTTTGTGTAAAAATATTAGTTTTTTTTGCTACTATATAATTGGATAGGGATAATGTTTATTTTTGCATGTCTAGGGTTCCAAACTTGAATTAATATAATACATAATTATGGGGTTATCATGTTTTTCTCTTGGTGGATATTTGCTTTTACTTGTGTTGTTTGTTGATTGTGCTGTGTTTGCTGATCATGTTAATGGAGTTGGAGATGACAAGCTCCTATTTGGACAAAGAAAGTTTGGGAAGCATTTTGGTGGTGGAGGTGGATTAGGTGGTGGAGGTGGATTAGGAGGAGGAGGTGGTTTAGGTGGTGGAGGTGGATTAGGAGGTGGTGGTGGTTTAGGTAAAGGTGGTGGACTTGGTGGTGGGGCTGGATTAGGAGGAGGTGGTGGATTAGGAGGTGGTGGTGGACTAGGAGGTGGTGGTGGAGCTGGAGGAGGACTAGGTGGAGGTGGTGGACTTGGTGGTGGAGCTGGTGGAGGAGTAGGTGGTGGTGCCGGAGGAGGACTTGGTGGAGGTGGTGGATTTGGTGGTGGTGCTGGTGGTGGAGGAGGATTAGGTGGAGGTGCTGGTGGTGGTGCTGGAGGTGGTTTTGGTGCAGGTGGAGGAGCCGGAGGTGGTCTAGGTGGAGGTGGAGGCGGAGGATTTGGTGGTGGTGGAGGTGGTGGCATTGGTGGTGGTGCAGGTGCCGGAGGAGGCTTTGGTGGTGGTGCAGGTGGAGGCGTTGGCGGAGGTATAGGAGGTGGAGGTGGCGGCGGATTTGGTGGTGGTGGAGGCATTGGTGGTGGTCATTAGTTCATCAATATATAGCTCTTCCAATTATGTTTTGCATGAACTATATATATAAGAATGTGATCAAAATGTTAAATATAATTATGTACTTTTCTAGTTCTATTTTTTTGTGAGAGTCCTTTGTAAAAGTACTTAAACAAGAGTGTATCATTATTTATCCATTATATCAAAGTAAATTTGTCCTTTAAAGCTTCTTTACATGTTATTACATGTAAAATAAAGCTTGTGGACTATTGTATTATCCAACCATATTATTAATAAAGTATGTTGTTTTCCAAGTGTGTTAAATTAAATGTTTTTCCCATCTGTTGACCTTCTCTTTTGTTTTACTATTCTCGAGACTTTTTCATAGTTCAAAATAAATGAATAATTTCAATTTCAAATAAATAATTAAAACTTTTTTTTTCATATTTACTCTCCATTATAGTTTCTTAATTACTTTATATTTTTTAAGAAATAATTTAAAAATAATCAAAATAATAATAATAAAAAATAATTTTAATTTATATCCTTAAATATTTTTTTTAACAGATATGTCATACCCCAATAGTTCATTTAATATGGACTATAGGGAGTATTTTTATTCTTTACTTCATTTTCATATTTATAGAGTTTGATAACAGTGTTATCATTGCCTGATGTTGAACCACTAGAAATGGACCCTTGATCAATCTAATTAAACTCTCAAAGATAATTTATGAGGGAAAGATTGTTCGAAGGCTAAATATTTAAAGTGTGAATAATATAAAATAGAGAACCAAAATCATCAAATTAGGATGCATCTAATTTTGGATATATCATGATAAAGAAATAAATCGGTAAGAGTCTAACTCAATTTCTGACCGAAGTTAGCTTATGAAGTAAAAATTATCAAAACCAATAAGCAAACCAAATAACCATTTAGGATTGGACATATAAAATGTGAACATCAATATGAGATATGGGCCTAATATAGAGTAATCATATTTGTTAGAATTTCAAATCCGCAAATTTCAAATTATGAATCCGTCTATTTCAACCGAAGTCAATTTTCACTAAAACTAATAATTGAGTCCATCATCTCCTCCCCACCAGACCAGATATTTGGCAGCTTGTATTTGTCTTATAAAATACTACTAGGTAATATGCTTAAAGAAGTGAATTGAAGTTTGACACTGCTTCACACCTCTCTAAAAAAAGGGAGTTACGTCTGAGTTAAATTTGGATGAACGACTAATGTAAATGATAAATATTAACACTAACAATATACAAGACTTTTGGCTCATAGAATTAGGGACATAAATTATAGGCACAACACATAAGTATGCCCTTTAACTTTGTTTCAGCCGCAAACTTCAAATTATGAATCCGTCTATTTCAATCGAAGTCAATTTTCACTAAAATTAATAATTGACTCCGTCATCTCCTCCCCACCAGACCAGATATTTGGCAGCTTGTATTTGTCTTATAAAATACTACTAGGTAAAATGCTTAAAGAAGTAAATTGAAGTTTGACACTTCTTCACACCCCTCTAAAAAAAAGGGAGTTACGTCTGAGTTAAATTTGGATGAACGACTAATGTAAACGATATATATTAACACTAACAATATACAACACTTTTGGCTCATAAAATTAGGGACATAAATTATAGGCACACCACATAAGTATGCCCTTTAATTTTGTTTCAGCTCATATCTAAGCCGTCCAACTTTGGGTATGCAGAAATAGTCACTTAAATTTGTATAAATTAAATAACCAGACATACACGTCCTATGTAGTATAATGCATGTCAAAAGCTATATAAAATATGAATTACCACATAGGACATCATATAAGACGTGTGTCTCTACTGTTACAAATACAATCAAACTTTTTTGTCCTTGTGATAACCTGTTCTGTTTTGTATTTGGCCCACATATTTGACAAGACAAATGCAAAAATCCATGAATTATTATTTTCAAGATAAAAAACAAGAAGTAAAAGTTAGATATATACATCAGAGTTTACAAAGAGATCTGACACCACTGCTCTTAATTAGATTGCTCTACCTTTTCATATCTGAATCACTGTCTTTAATATTGATTTATTAAATTTTCATATCACATGACATAAAATTCAATTGAAATAAACCATAGTTTTATTTAAAGATAAAAATTAAATATAACAAACATAGAGACTTGAATTCACAACAGCACTTTATCCAACAATAAATAAAAAGAAATGATGGTATATTTGGTCCCCTAATTTTGAATTTTGGTCCTCTCCTTACATTTAATTGAGATGTGTTTTTTTTTGGTAGCCCTTACTTAAATATGTTATATTTAAATTATTTTTTTGAAGTACATATAGTACCATTAAAAATAAAGCAACAAAATGTAAATTTAACATAACATATACAATAATCAAAATGGTGGAAGTGAAACGGTTAATAATTCTGAAAATTAAAAATGTGAACGTTAGAGGTAAAGGGATTAGAAGTGCACATTTCGAGTAATTGAAGTTAAATATGTTTAATCAAGTATCATAGGAAGCAAAACTAAAATTCATGTATGATATGCATAAATAACACAACTAAAACAAAGTATTATATATATTCTTCATATACATTATTATAAGGAGGAAACAAAAAGATGTTCAACAATAGCAAGAGAAAAACATTATATCTCATAAAGAGAAAAAACTCTTGATAAAGAGCGTTTCTTCTATTAATAGGTCTTATATGACTTATATTCAGATTAATCAAGCTAAATGCACAAATAAAAGATAAGCATGAGCTAGGGGAACTAACTCTAGTAACCTCACTTGATTCATCGATTGGACTCGGGATTTGGACCACTAGGAACACTATGAGCAGCCACCCCAAATTGCCCTCTCACATTATGGGTGGCTGCAACCCTCATAGGGGTAGTGACAGTAGTGGTGGTTGTGCTAGTAGTTGATTTTTTCGGAAGAACTTGCATAGTGGATTTTTTGGTTGTTGAAGAGTAGTCTCGAAGGGCTCTTACGTTAAATCCTAAAGAATAAGTGTTCATGAGTAGTAGCAGAAAGAAAAAAAGAAGAAGAATTTGTGGTTGTGTAGTTGTTTTTGCCATGAATATCCATGAACCAAATGGAACTTCCAAGTTGGGAAATATTAGGGGGCTAGAGGAAATTAAGAAGTTTAGATTTATAGAACTAGAAAATATTATTAATACTATATATGTAGATATATGCTTTGCAAAGCTTTCTCATATATATAGTATGGGAAAAGTGAGAAGCATCATGAATTTATTCGGTGTTTCATATTCATATTAAAGCTAAATTATATCACATATATCTCTAATTAATTTGGATTAGCGTTACAGAAAATACCATTTCTTATTAAAAAAAAATATATATTCAGAACTTGAACCTGAAACATTTAATTACATACAGAAGATATTATCTATCAAACCACAAGGTTCATATTCTTTTTCATGTTTCCATGTTGCCCCTCGTGTATTTTTACTTTGCACAATTAGTCCTTTCGTGAATGGACTAATAATTAATTAGTGAATCCTGAATACATTAGTACTTCCTTTGTTTTACTTTGTTTGATATTATTTCTTTATAAGTTCGTTAATCATTATAAAGAGAAGTATTTATAGTTATATACATAGGTTCGAACGGATGATTTTCACTATGTGAAGGTAATACTCTACCGCTGAGGTATAGCAACAAAGGGGTGGTGGCGCAGTTGGCTAGCGCGTAGGTCTCATAGCTTCTGAGTAATCCTGAGGTCGAGAGTTCGAGCCTCTCTCACCCCATTATCTTTTTTTTCCCCATTTTTTGGTGAAAATTTCAAATTATGCGCCAAATTTGCTGTACAAATTGGCCCAAAATCGCATTTTCAAGAAAAATTTTGGTGAAGAAGATGAAGAAGCAACCTGAAATACTACCATTGGGACAGCGGTCAATTGCTTCAACTTTTCTCTTTCGTTCTCCAAATCAGTAAGAATGGAAGTTCTACTTTTTCACTCGTTGGGGATTTGGGGCTTTCACTTTTGTAGCTTAATTCAGATTTCTGGTTAAATTTCTTGTTTTTTTAGCTTGTTGAATCTCGTTTGTGTCTGGGGTTTCTCTTTTGTTGCTTAAAATCCAGATTTTCTGGTTAAAGTTCTTGTTTTTGTAGCTTGTTGGGTCTCATTTGTGATCTGGGGTTTCGTTTTTGTTGCTTAAAATTCTTGTTTTTTTAGCTTGTTTGGTTTCGTATGTGATCTGTGGTTTCGCTTTTGTTGCTTAGAAATCACATTTTTGGTTAAATTTCTTGTTTTTCCAACTTGTTGGGTTTCGTTTGTGATCTGGGGTTTCGATCTGTTGCTTAAAATTCACTTTTTTTGGTTAAATTTCTTGTTTTTGAGCTTTTTGGGTCTCGTTTGTGATATGGGGTTTCTCTTTTGTTGCTTAAAATCCACATTTTTTGTTGAGTTTCTTGTTTTTTTAACTTGTTCTGTTTCATTTGTGATCTGGGGTTTCGCTTTTGGTGTTAAATTTAGCTTCTATGAACGAACTTCAGTTTCGTGTTAAATAATCTCTCTGTTTTAGCTTTCTGGGTGTAATTTTTGATCTGTTGTTCATTTATTGTGCTTTGTTAAGGTCTACTGGTTGTGAGAAGAAAGTGGAAAGCAGAGGTTCCAATCAAAAGGGTTCAAGCATATCTCTATCTGATTTCCTCAGCAAAAAATTGCACAAAAGTCCTGTTTTGCCCGGAGTAGTTCCAGTAAGTAAGCTAAATTGTTTTAGTTTCTGTCTTCTCATGGAAGTTGTTGAGGGTCTATCGGAAACAGTCTCTCTACCTTCCAAGGTAGGGATAAGGTTTGTGTACACAATACCCTCCTCAGACACCACTTGTGTGATTACATTGAGTATGCTGTCGTATTTTAGTTTCTGTCTTCTCATGAAAACTGAGGGTCTATCACAAACCTCTCTACGTTCCAAAGTAGGGGTAGGGTCTGTGTATACACTAACCTCCACAGACGCCATATGTGTGATTATACTAAGTATGTTGTTGTTGTGTTCTCATGGAAATGCTAGAAATGAAAAAAAAGTTTCTGTTGGGATCCCAAGAAAGATTATAAATATTTGTAGAGCTGGAAATTTTGTGTCCTGTTCGTTTGTTGCCATTGTTTCAAGATTTCTCATTGTAGCTGCATGTAGAACTTCTATCGGAAATAGCTTCTCTTCCTCCCAAGGTAGGGGTAAGGCCTGCATAGACACTACCCTCAGATCCCACTTGTGGGATTACACTGAGTATGTTGTTATAACTGAATGTAGAACTTGTAGGCCACTACAACACATGTAAGCCAGTGGATGGACCTGCATCCACAGTTTCAGGCTCGGTCACATTAATATGTGTGTAGAGAAATTTGAAGAGTTTCTTTTAAGAATGCATATGTTCCTCATTCTATGAACTCTTGTTGATTCTAGACTTTGTTCACGGAAGTGCACTTAATGCCTTCAATGATGGACTAAATATGGTCACTTGGTCTGAGCTAAATTTCTCTTTTGGAACACCTGAAGACTCGAGTATATAATTGGAACAGGTGACGAGGTTACTGGCTTCAACCAATGTCAAATATTAGAAAGGATCTAAACTGTAGTTTAGTTTTAAGTTCTGTCATTTGTATCACCTGTGTTCTATAAAACTGCAATAAGCGGTGTTCTATATTTGCATGTATTTAGAACATGGAACTGTTTTCCTGAGCGGCCTGTAGAAATTATTATAGGTTTTCCCATATCAGGGTGTGCAATTTCTCTACTTGTACAATAATTTACCTAATTTGATTTGAGTATAAATGCGACCAAAACGTTTGCAGGGAAACAAGAAATTCTCGGTGCCAACTTGTAGTAAAGACACAAGTGTGTGTGTGAAGGGACGATTCAATTGTTCGAAAGATGGAGAATCAGGAATTCCATGTGCTCTTGATGCTATTTTTGAACAATACAAGAACACCATGAAAGAGAACCAAGATGTTTCTGCTCCTAATGATTTCCGTGAGGTTTCCGTCACCGATAATGTCAGAACATCAAGAAAAAGAGGCTTTATTGAAGGTTAGTCATTCTTTCAGAAAATGAATGGGTTGACCTGTTCACATGTTTGTTGTGCTCATCATATTTTCTTAGATGAATTAGCTTTCATGAGATTGCCTTTGGTTATAGTCGTTTCTGAGTATCTAAGCTTGTTTCTGTAACTAACATACATGTGCGGTAAAACAAGAAGCTAATCAGTACGGCTTGTTGTGTCTCTTGACCTTGCTTCCCCAAGCTACTAAGCTGCTGATCATAAATTGCAATGCGATCTTTTGTTAGTTGCTATTGCTTCTCCTTTTATAAAGCTGATATTACATATATATATAGTATCCACTAATATTTCCAATGCCCTGTTGTACTTGGAGAAACGTTCAACTCTAGAAGCCAAAGGGGTTATTCCGCTTGAGTTAAGTTAAGAGCTTTGCTTGAAATCGAGAGTGAGAGTTCAATGTTGGCTACATGGAGAAAAAGGCAAATGGCTTTTCTTCTCTTATTTCCTGAAAGACGATACCTTGAATAAGATCATTGTCCATTTCCTACAACGCCAACAACACCATACCCAGCGTGATCCCACAAGATAGAATCATTGTCCATTTCTTAAGCCCCTTAAAAAGAGCGTTAATCCAGTACTTCCCAAAACAGATGTAAATCCTCTAGATTCTAAATGTTTGAGGATCTCTTTGCCAGGGGTAGAGCTAGAAGTTTATGTATACAGGTTTGCCGAATCTAGTAGTTTTTTAGTCCAAACCTCGTTATATACACAAATTAAATTTTCAACCCAGTTACTAGCACCTTATATCACTATCCTAGAATTTAGAACCCATAAAGTTCAAATTTTGGCTCTCCATAGTCTTGCTGTTGTAACAAAATGAAAATATTCAAAATCCACCACTTAAATACACAACTCTTTTATATCTTGTTACTAGTGCTTGATATATTGGTTTTCTTGAGAAATAACTACTACCATTTATTTTAGTTCCCATGTTTAGATAAAGTACTTTTCTGGTTAATCCAAATACATTTACTCTGGAGTTCTTACATGGAAAATATTATCGAATATCCCAAAATGTTACATGTTCTTGGATTTCATGGATCATATATAGAATGTGGTATTTTCTCAGGAAGTGATCGATGAATTCTTGTTGTTTAGCCCTGACATTTTTTAATGGTTTTCTAGGTAGCAGCGGAAACCAATCAGCTCGAAAGGTTTTGGCCGTTCTTGGAGAAGGTTCAGCAGAAAAGCCTAGAAAAAAAGTGAGAATGCTTGATAACATTGAGAAACCTAGCACTCTCTTCAATCATTGTAAGTCTACTTAAAATAACAATCTTTCACGAAAACATTCTTCTACTAAAACATATTTTACTGTACTTCGAAATGCAAGTTCTCATAAAAATGGAAAATATCATCTTTTTCTGCTTTCAGATGCAAATGGAGGTGGCTGGTGGGATTGCAACATGGAAGGTGTTGATAATGAAGAAGTGGGTTGTAGTGAAGTATGGGAAGGAATGGGTTCTACAACTCTAGGGGGATTGGAATGGCACTGAAATAAGAGATATGAGGAGAGAAAAGACTGTATTTTTGTGATACAACGACAACAACATACCCACTATAATCCCAGAGGTGGGGTTTGGGGAGGGTACAATGTACGTTAACTTTACCTCTACCTCATCGAGGTAGATAGATTGTTGTTGCTGAGACTCTTGATGTAGTAGGATATGTAATCTTATTTACTTTTATTACATACTAATTTTCTTATCAATAAGAAAAACTCATGCAAAGGGTAAAAATAAGTATTGTTAAAGCTTACCTTATATTATATAATATGCATGACACAAGTAGCTATTACGAAACAATTATGACAAGTCAAATTACGTGAAGTGTTTCCTCTCTAGGCTCATGTTCTTGCTGTCACTCCTTCTGAATAAAACTGAATACCCAATCCTCTAAGAAATTGTTTAAGGTAAGTGGAGAAAAAAAATATTATTTTATTCGTGATATATATATATATATATATATATATATATATATATTCTACATATCCTTAAATTAAAAGTCTACTTTATTTTTAAAATTTCAAGTCAAATAAAAATTAGACAAATGTATATTACCTTTTAACTTAAATGTTAAATTATTATAATACCACAAGCATAAAACACCAAAGGTAGTATATCTCCTATATTTTTTTTATTGTATTATGTTTCTTTATTTATATTATTTTATTTTATATTAAAAGGAGACACCTTTTCATATTAAAGGGTTGTGACATTTTCAAAGATTTATAACATTTTTGATGTGTTGTGATCTTTTCGAAGGGTTGTGACTTTTCTACAAAGTTGCGACTTTTTCGAAGAGTTGTGGATTTTCTGAAGGGTTGTGTATTTTCAAAAGAGTTATGACTTTTTCGATAAGTTGTGACCTTTTTGAAGGGTTGTAACTTTTCTAAAGGGTTGTGACTTTAATTTTGATAAGGAACAATAAGAATTTTTTATATACACTACCCTTTGCTGGTTATAAAAAGAGGGGTTTCCTCAAATTTTTAAAGTTTTACATTGTTGTTGTTCTTCTTCTTATAAAACTCAATTTAGTATATCTTCTATGTTTTATATTATATATATTATATTAAAAGAATATATCATTTCACATTGAATGGTTATGACTTTTCCAAAGAGTTGTGACTTTTTCTAATAAGAAACAATATGCACACGCTCATACTATCATTTTTTAAACTTTAAATAGAGGGGTTTCCTTACACTTTTAAACTAAGATATTTTTTTTTATGTTTTCTATTCTTCTCTTCTTAAAAACTCAACTTTGATTTACAGACACTGACAATCTAAAAGTTCAGTGAAATTTGAACACTCCCTAGCGTGAATGTTAAATTAATATAATACTCCAACTAAATACATCAAACTCCAACAATACAATAATAACTAAGTCATGCACTATGAGGAAGGGAGGAGAAAGTATATTTAGGAGGTGTAACCAAGAGATTTTAAGAGTTACTAACTTTCATTAGCAATCATAAGAATGTTTACATTCACTATTCGTAGGAACTTATACTTTATCATTTGTTTTATAATTGCTTACTTAAATTTTTTATTCAATAATATTCACATTATTTTTAAAAATAGTGTAGTGCATGGTTTGATATTCACGTGCAATGCACATGCAGTGCGTCAAAACTAGTATATATATATATATATATTATCATTATTATTATTATTATTCTAATATTTTTATCCAAATATTACTTTTTCATTAAGGATGAGCTTATACTTTTTAACAGCACATTTTTGGTCAAACTACTATCAGTTTGAATAGGGACTAAATATGCTTAGAATTACATTTAAAAGATAAAAATAAACATGTGTATATACATAAGGGGTACTTTTGACTAAAAACTGTTGAAAAGGGACCATCCTAGTAATTATTTCAATTATAAAACCTTATTGAACTTAACATAGCCTCATTCATTTGTTCTGTGCCGTAACTACTATGGAAGAAAACGAAAATTTCTTCCCTTCCCATAAATCATCACCTAGATACTATCGAAGCTGCTCATTTGCAATTCATGTTTGTTGTAATTCAGGTATGTTTCAAAGTAATGATTCGGTTCCATTCTTTTGCTAGCCAGGGCTTGATACTTAAAAAGGGTTGATTGATTGGTGCTTCAACGTGATGTATTGGTTCTACTAGTTAGACACATAGATCTGATTGAAGACTATCGTAATTTCAGTCTTGCCTGCAAATCGTGGCCCTTTGTGGCCACTAGGGAAAGTTTAAACATTAACTTGCCTAGGGTTCATGCACTATGGGAAAGGGAGGAGAAAGTATATTTAGAAGGTGTAATCAAGAGCTTTTAAGCTTACTAACTTTCATTAGTAATTATAAGAATGTATACTTAATTTTTTTATTCAATAATATTCACATTATTTTTAAAAATAGTGTAGTGCCTGGTTTGATATTCACGTGATTGCACGTGCAGTGCGTCAAAACTAGTATATATATATATATATATATTATCATTATTATTATTATTATTCTAATATTTTTATCAAAATATTACTTTTTCCTTAAGGATGAGCTTATACTTTTTAACAGCACATTTTTGGTCAAACTACTATCAGTTTGAATAGGGACTAAATATGCTTAGAATTACATTTAAAAGATAAAAATAAACATGCGTATATATACATAAGAGGTAATTTTGACTAAAAACCGTTGAAAAGAGACCATCCTAGTAATTATTTCAATTATAAAACCCTATTGAACCTAACATAGCCTCATTCATTTGTTTTGTGCCGTTTGCACAACTACTATGGAAGAAAACGAAAATTCCTCCCCTTCCCATAAATCATCACCTAGATACTATCGAAGCTGCTCATTTGCAATTCATGTTTGTTGTAATTCAGATATGTTTCAAAGTAATGATTCGGTTCCATCCTTTTGCTAGCCAGGGCTTGATACTTAAAAAAAAGGGTTGATTGATCGGTGCTTCAACATGATCTATTGGTTCTACTAGTTACACACATAGATCTTATTGAAGACTATCTTAATTTCAGTCCTGCCTGCAAATCGTGGCCCTTTTTGGCCACTAGGGAAAGTTTAAACATTACCTTGCCTAGGGTTCCATGGCTATCACGAGGGTTGATTGAATTCCACAAATGAGTGGGAGATGATGTAGAGGAGAAGATGTGGACATATCGCACAAAAACTTTTCTAATTTCTTGATCTATTTAGCTAGTTGGATATACACCAACTAAGAATTTAGGAGACCATGCTTTTCTTTTGGGGTGCTAATGCTTCTCGTTCGGAATTCAGAGACTTGGTTCAACAGGCTGAGGATAACGCAAGTAAAAAGGCTGGAAGTCCACACTTGTTCTACCTCTTTCATATCAACATTTCACTATGACGAGCAAATGTTCTTTGGAGCAAATTTTTTATATTATATTTTTTTGTAACAATATTTCTTTATAGTATCCAAATGTTTTGTTGCTGTAAATCGGAGTTAATTATGTATGTGGATTAGAAAATGTAAAAAAATCATAGAAATTACATAGAGTCCGATTTGCTATAAAAATTATTGTCATTTTCAATGTGTTTGCTGAGTTTCATGATTTATATAAAATTTTCGTTATTTTTAATGTGCTTGATGAGTTACATGATGAATATATAATTTTTGTTAATTTCAATGTGCTTGATTAATACATGATGAATATATAATTGTCGTTATTTTCAATGTGCTTGATGAGTTATACACGATTAATATAAAAATATGTTATATTCAATGTGTATGATGAGTTACATGATGAATGTAAAATCATCATTATTTTCAATGTGTTTGCATATGCACACAATTAATTCACTTTCTGACATTTTTTCTTTCTTTTTGTTACTTCTTTTGTGAATTAATGGTCAATTCTTATTTCACTCATACAAACATTATAATGAAAGTACAAAAGGTTTGAATGAGACAAGAGATTGAGAAGCAAAGCTGCAATAGTCATAAGGATGGAGAGAATTACCATGTCCAAGGGGAGAAAAGGACTTGGATTAGATCCTTTTAGATAAGACTCTATTAATTTGAATGGAGAATATGCAAATTAAATAATATGATATTTATTATTCATTTGAATTGGAAAATGTCCAAATAATCTAATATTTATTATTTTCAATAAGACCCAAATCTACTTCACTATGTATGCATATGCCCAAAAGAATAATTTCCATTTAATTAGATTTGATGTTTGCTACATGCTAATGGAGGTCAGGTCATGTGACACATTTTAGTGCTATAAACTTTTACCAGTCATGTGAAAAATCGTTGGTGCGCTTTCTTAACTTGTTCTTGAATTTTCAGAAAGTCGAAGTTTATGTGTATATAAGTAATCCAAACTCAGACTACATAGAACGATGATGAAGCTTGATATATCTATTATGAATATTTATTGAATGCAAAAGAATATCTCAGAGGTCTCCACAGGTGCTAATTGCAGTTGCTATTCTTGTTTGGTGTTTAATAGCATATCTCATTGTTATATTTTATAAGAGTGATATAAAGCTTGAATAAATGTTGATCTGATTTATTACATATTAAAAGATCTTTTATAAATTCTAATCCTCCTTTGAGGTTGTTTATGCTATTAATGTCTATAATGATGTGTTAGATACATTTGTAACATATTATCGTATTTTTATAAGCCATCATCTAGGGTTGTGATTCATTTGGTGTTGGGGATTAGTCTTGACCTTTATCATTTCGATTAATCCAAAAAGTTACAATTGTTGGAGAGGGGAGGGGGGGGGACATGGACCATACCCCTATCCAACATATTACATCATAAAAAGCTTCAAAACAAAAAGAATGGGAAAGGAGTAGCCTATACAATCTTCTTCATCATCAAAATATCAAATCAATTCTTAGCCTACAAAAAAATAAATACATTTTTTCATATTTTTTCCTCATGAAAGGTACTTGCCACTTATCTAGTTAAATTAAACATTTGATCTCTTGAGGAAGAGATTGCCAAGTGAAAAAATAGGTTTCATTTACATTAGTAGAGACCATCTTGACAAAGCAATTAGCCACC